AATGTGCAGACAGTGAGAGACTCGAGAACCCAGTCCAAAATGGGCGTCTTCTTTTCATCAACCTCCACCTCCTGGGGCTCAAGGATCTTCACAGAAGAGGAGGCAGGAAAGTTGTCAGCACCGCAGGTGGATGTTGACTCCAAGGAATCAGTGTCTTCCAGAAACAATGTGACTGATGCACATATAAACTCAAGACGGGCAGCATGTTCCAGACCTGCACAGGTTCCCAGTACCTAGAGGGGGAAATAGGAGGTCCCACCCCAAACCAAGAAATTATCTGAAACTGATACTCACTTACAAAGGGAAAATTAGTTTTCTCCAGTGGACTCTGATTGTGTAGTAACCACACTTCAGGCCCCACGCTGAGCAGTAGCTGGCCAACACAAACAAACTCAATGGTGTTTTTGTAGACTTTTATCTCATGGTGCATGGTTTGGGCATTTTCTTGTCTTACTATTTTTTTTTTTTTTTTGTTTTTGTTTTGCTACAAGCAATTATATCTTGGTTTCCATTTTCGTGCTTGTGGGGTGTGTGTGTTTCTTGTTTTTATTTTGTTTGTTTGCTTCTTGTATGGGTCGGGGGAGATATAGTGTGTGGACTTGGGGGAGTTGAGAGGACCTGAGAGGAGCTGGGGAGAGAAAAATCTTGATAAAAAATATAATGTATGAGAAAATTCAGTTAGAGTGTTAAATTTAAAAAAAGAAAACAACTTTAAAGAGAGAGAAAGAAGAATGAATGAGTCATGCCCAGTGGCAGATCAGAGCAAAGAGGCGGAGTCTCTCCTGGATGAGGCCCAGTTCACAATGCGCCTGGGTGTGTATGGCACCATTACCTCACACTCATTATCAACATGTGGTTAAGTTCTCTCCCAGAAATTCCCACAATTTTAAGTCTTCAACGTCTTTCCCCAAGTTAGAAACAAAATACAAAATTAGCAGATTCAGATGTCGTTGGTGATTAGATCAGCAAACAGAGTTCATTCATCTTTTTATAAAATGGAGTTTTAGTCATCATAAACATTAACACCTTAAAATTTACATGGGTCACTGAAGGCTTCTAGGTATTCAGTAAACGAGACATGTATAGTCCTTAATCTCTGAAACTGTCAAATAATAACTACAGAGGTCTTTCTATTTTGCTTCAAAAGATTGATAAAATAGGTTTCAGGAATTTATTTTATTTTATTCTTATTTTCATATTGATTCCATTCCCTCTGCCTCCCATCTTCCCATGCCCTCCTTTCCTCTCCGCCCCCCCCCCCCCGGCCCATCTCATGTCTCAGTCTCATTCCCTATCCACTCCCCAGGAAGGGTAAGGCCTTCCAGGAGGAATCACCAAATCTTTCAAGTCATCTGGAGTAGAGCCTAGGCCCTACCTAGTGTCTCTAAGCTAAGGGATACGTATCTCTCTCTCTCTCTCTCTCTCTCTCTCTCTCTCTCTCTCTTTTTTTTTTTTTTTTTTTTTTTTTGTTAAGATCACTTGTTTTATGAATCCTGGGAATACTTGGAATATCTGTCTTGGGGTAGTAGCCTGTGAAAAAGAAATAATAAAAATGTTCTGCCCAAGAATAGATTCTACTCTGAAAAGGCAGGTTTGAAAACTGGAGAATATTAACCAATGTTGGTATAAATAGTATTTGTGTGTTCATGCCCATGCATGATGTTAAGTTATTGTGAGGACAGAGTGGCTACTTTTAGAAAACGTGATGCACAGCTTAACTGTCACATCCTGAAGTGGACAAGTCATTGAGAAGAACTCCATGTGGTGCCTGGGTAAGCTCACACAGAATACACACATCTATGATGTTAGGTAAACTTCCATGGAGAAATCATTTTCTTTTCTCAGTTCACGGGACATTATTGTTGCAAGCTCTGGTACAAATGGAAGGTGATCTGGGGATAAGGGATTATTGAGGGCATTTTCTCAAGCTAGTAACATTAATAAGGATCTGGGCTGGAAATTTTAGCATTCCCTTTTTTTGAAATATTTTGTATGCTTGTTTATTTGTCTTCACTGAATGCAATTCTAATGGGAACTCCATGTGGAGTGGTCCCTAAAGTATCCCAGTGTCACCATAAGGAGCTGAGTGAGAGTTGGTGCACCTTGCAGGTCCATGAAGATCTTATGAAAATGTCAAGATATAACCATGTTTCCCAACCTCTGGTTCTTGATCTCCATGTCCACACATATCAGATATCCTGTGTGCTAGATAATTGCATTATGATTCATACCAGCAGCACAGGTACAGCTATGAATTGGGAATTTTATGGTTGGGGTCACCACATCAGGATGGTGTCAAAGGGTCACAGCATTAGGAAAGTTGAGAACTTTGGAGATGGAGATCAGAGCTTCCTAAGGATGCTAAGGGAAAGTCAAGTTCACCAAGGAGCTTCAGTAATGGTAAGCCCATCTTGGTGGTTCTATATAAGGCCATATTATGAGATAAACAAGTTTGCTCTTTTGTGTCCTATCCAGATAGAATCTTGATGGATCTAATCTACATCCTTTCCATGTTTAGACCCTTAAAAAACAAGACACAGCTTTCAGTGTTTCTTCGAGAGCTACCTTCAGAGACACAAGATCTGTATATAAGCTTCCTCGTCCTTGCTAATGACACTAAACATCATCCTGGGAGTCTATAGGGTTACACAATCTTCTGGGAGTCCTCACATATTGTTGTGTTTGTTGACTTTTCATAGACACTTGGGACAAGAGTTACCTAATCTAATGATGAGGAAGTTGAAGCAAGGCAAGCTCAAGTACCCTCCCTGGGGTGTAGTCAGAATGAGGTAGGACTAAAACTGAAACTCTAAGCCACTTGCTGGGCAGCAAATGATTTGTGCATCTTTTCTGCCCTTCCCTTCTGGTAGTTGACTGGTGGCTGTCAGAAAGGGTGGTCTAGGATATGTGCTCACTACGCATCTAGTCTGTGACAGCTCATGGGAAGTGCACCTTGATTTGACAAAAGGCTAATTCCCAGATCTACAGGCAGATCCTGAGTATGTAGAGGGCTTCTGTTCTTATCCATTGGAGCTGCAAACCTGCTGGGTCTTGGGAAATGGTCTCACCTTAGAACTAAAACATGTATTTTGTTTTCATTTCTGGGTCACATTTCCTCATTGAGAATTACATAAAAACTACCAACCCTCTGCATGAAACTGTGTACCCAGAATTTTTAAAATATTTTTTTCCTTTTGGTTAATGTCCATGATCATTAAGGTCAGATGATCTTTCCAAGAATAGACAACAGTCAATTTGGGGTGGCATCTCTAAGTTTTGAAGACTGGCATCATTCACTTTCAAGGAATTAATGTGAATGCTTGAATAAGAGAAAACTGTATTTACATTTGACTGAGGAGTTTGCTCTTGTTTTTATCCTTCAGGGGAGAGGGCCATGCCAATGTCACAGTTGGCTGTGGTCACTAGCTGGCTGCCTGGTAACGGCACGGTTTGTGCATTCCATGGCCAGGCTCCAGAGAGGCAGAAACACCACAGGGGAGAGGAAGTTCAAGCTCCAGGTTCATGCCATGAACATTCCTGACGCTTCCACTGAAAGACCTCATTATTGTCATGGCAGACACTGTGAGAACAAAGGCACCATTTTCAGGATGAAGGGCTACGTGTTGTCATTAATTAAATATTTTTTTGATTATGGCATGAAATTGGTCAGAGCATGACAGTATGATGCTTTGGGGCATGAGCTCATCTAAGCAGTTTCTGCTAATCCATGGAGTAAGAGCCCATCCTCACTTGCTCACAAGACTTCTTTATCTGGATAATGACAAATAACAGTATTGGGGGGGGGTGTGATTTCATATTATATTCATTTTAGCAAAGGAGTGATAAATAATATAGGACAGTGACATGATTTTGTTATTTCTTTCACACTAATTATTGTCTGGCCAAGAATAATAATTTGTGTAAGCAATTTTAAAAAGCCATGAATTTGAAAAAGAACAAGGAGAGGTATATGGAAGGATTTGGAGGTAGGCAAGGGACATGGGGGTGACATAAAGTAATTATCTAACCTAAAAGAAGTAATACAAATGATGCGAAAGTAATATTGAGAAAACTAAAGGGTATTGCTTCAGGGTTTTGCTGCAGACTACAAGTGTTTGGCAGGAAGCTTCAGCGTCTTTTTGTGAGCACATCACATTTTTCCGGGCACAGTGAGGGGAGTGGGAACGAGCAGGAAAAGGCTGGGTGCAGAGATGAAGCTGAGCTGCAGTTCCACCAGATACTCAGATAGAGTCATCAGCCGGAAGTCACCTCCCTTTCCCACCCTCATCTGTAAGAAGACCAGCCAAGCTGCAAAGCTATTGTGGCTCAGAAACAACATTCTTTATAAAAGGGCAGACTTGCTTTCACCTTCAATCATGTGTGTATGAGTTGCTTCAGGGTGTTTTAATCTTATAGCTGAACATGAAAGAAATCTGTGGTCTATGTCCAGGACGTGGAACTTCCAAAATGCATTCCAACCTCCTCAATACAACACAGGAGTCATGGCTCTGAGAAATACAACCAAGATTTTCTTTTACTTTCTTCAAAGTTTGCTTTCTAGGTCTAGAGCAGCAAGTTCTTGGTTCATTTTGATCTTGTAGAAATACATGATGAGTCAGAATCTTGTCTTTGAGACATCTCCCTTGGACTCAGGCTATTTCCTTATTTATTTATTTATTTATTTATTTATTTATTTATTTTTCCTATTACTCCTAGAAATCATTGAGAAGAGCTCCACCTGAGAAGTACTGGGGCATTGATTAAGCCTGTTCATCATAAGTGCACTGAAGCATGATGACCTCCTTTGTCCAAAACACTCATCCAGTAAAAGACATCATACCCATGATTTTAACTTTTGCTAATGTCTTATATCATGGCCCAGAAATACCCTTGGAAGCTTGTGGCTAAAGTCCTGAATGACAGATTTTGCAAAGAACATAAAAGATAAGATGAGACAAATACTTGTTTATTTATGCTTTCAAAAGCTTGATGTAGGGGAGCTAAGGTACACTGATGCAAATGTAAGCAGCCTGGAGAAGAGACTACGACATAAATGCAATACTTGAACACTGATATCAGCTGCTACAACTTATAAAACACAAGGAGTAGATTCACTTGAAAAACTATACTTCAGAAATTATTTCTTTTCTCAATTTGGGGATACCTTTGTGGAATGTGTGTGTTTTTATTTAGAGTTTCTTTCACATTCTTGTCTCCTCTAAAGGTCGATTCATGAACTCTTGAATAGCCTGGTCCAAAGGAAGCCATTTTTTGATAGATGTTTTCAAAGCTGTAATCCAGCTGCAAGAGAAAAAAAAAATAGAACTGATCATTAAACCTGTCAGGCCCTAGGGATGTAAAGTATGACAAAGTTCTTTAATTTATTTTCTAATTGTTTTCCTTGGTTATTTAGTTTGTACTTAATTGGAAAAACATGCTCTATAGATTTCAGGCTGAATGAGAAGGTACGCTATAGAGATGGCTCAATAATACAAGTAAAGGGCCCAAAGGAGAAGAAGAGGGTCATAAAAAGTGATCAGTGAAGCTATGTGGTTTTAAAATCGCTAATAGCATTTTGTGATTTTTTTCATTTAACCTTAAATTTTGTAGATTAAGCATGAATAAATATTGTCATATTGGTAAAAATATTTTTTGTTCAATTAAAGAAACCACAATACCCTCTAATTAATTCTTCACTTTGTCTTGCTTTCATTTTCTTGGACAATGTTTTATGAAACATTGCTTCTAAGAGCAGGGAGGGGCTATATTACTAGATGACCAGGAATAACAATCAGAAAGAGTTACCCTGGAATATTTCCAAGAGGCTATTTCAAAAACACTAATAAATGAATTTGTGGGTCTCTGGGTGTAGACTGTAATGTTTATCATGTTCTAAACTTACTTTAGGGATAAGTGGAATAACATGCAGCTCTAAGTTCTATCCAGTTTTTTACTTTCTGCTATTACTCTTTGAAATATTTCTCCAATGGTGCAATATATGTTTTTTAACTATAAAAGAATGCCCTATGAATCTATTAGTCAGCCCCAACTATTGAGCCTGTTGTAACAGAGAAATCAGTAGGTTTTATCAGATGAGACTTAAATCAGTGTCAGTGACCCTTGCGGTTGGTCTAGATGGAGCTTTGTCATCAGTATCTGCTGGCTAGATATCCAGGAAGAGGGTCATGGCAATACACCTAGCAGTAACACACCTGCCTCCTACTCAGCCCCCTCATCAAAGGAGAGACACACATAGTGTTCATATAGTGGGGGAAGACAGGAGGTCCCTGATCTCTTGCCTAAGTGGTTATTTGAGGGAGATCCTTAAAGTCCTACATTTGGGATTTTATTTGTGTTTAAAACATAGTTTCTCATAAATGTCCCTAGAAAGGTTATATCAGGCCATCAACTGGCATTAGTAGTGAATTTCTTTATGGGAATTGTAATGAACGGTCTGGAACTTGTGGGAGGTTACTGTGACGCATGGGCATCTTGGGAGGCAGGTATAGAGGGCATGGGCATCTTGGGAGGCAAGAAAGTTGGAGGATGCTGCTAAGTAACTCCCTTCCCACTGTGTCATCTAGCAGTTTCACCTCTTTTATATTCCCAAACCATTTTAAATCAATGTTCATTTGTGAGTGACAGCCTGAGATTGAATACAACACAAATTAAATCAGTTTTATGCCCTACGATGGCTTACATTAAAACAACCAACTAAATATAAATGGACAAATCAATGCAAGCTACGTGAAGGGGCCAAATGATAGATCTATGTTTTACCCAACTAAGATATGCTAATAAATATAATTTAAAAATCTATGGATTATTTGCAAATTATAAATGGTGGGCGTGTGTTTCTTTGTTTTTCTGCATGTTGAAGCCTGTGTTGCCCGCTGTCTTGGCAGGAATTCTGGCTACTATATTTTCATTTGGGGCGGGGGATAAGTATCTCTAGAGAAGTCACTGAAGAAGGGATGAAAGAAAAATAATCCTGGATAAGAGTCAGTATGAAGCCTGAAAAGAAAGGATGGATTTCCCTTAGGGAGTGGAGTTAGAAAATAAGGGGACGCGTTCCCTAAGGAGACCCTGTCAAGGCTGTTGCAGAGGGAGGCAGGGAGGTCTTGGCTTACCGCTGATTTTCTGTTTTATTTTCTGCACAGAAATAGAAAGTCTTGAATTCTTCTGATGGAGGTTTGAGTTCAATTACTGCTTCTTCAAAGCCGTGGGTCTGTTCAGTCACCCTATACCCTTGGAGATACAGGCCACCTACACAGGGCAGAAGCAAAGAAGCAGGCATGGGGCCGGGGGGCACAAGTGACAATAGGGAATGTAAGGAGGAAAAGCTGCCAGAAAAGGTGCTAAAATTCTGTGTATGATAGGGCTGCTTTTGCAGCTGCGTCATCACAGGTAAGGAAACTAACTTCAAAAGAGGCCACATCCCGATTAGTGTCCAGTAGCAAGACTGGTAGCAGAAACTGAACTTGTTCGTTGCATTTGTAAATGATTGGTATTTATCATTTCAAACTCTGTGCTTGGGATAAAAGCTTCTTTACCGCAAGGGCATAGTTTTGAAATAAAATTTCCATTACCAAAAGGAACAGGTGTAATATTACATTAGAAGGAAATTACATAGTATTTCTTGGGGCAGAGTCATTAGAACATACTTCCTGAATCATGGTGAAGGCTGCAGGAAGTTTCTACAACCAACACAGATTCTCACCCTCTTTGTATACTAAAAAATCCCATCTAAAATATGAGTTCCGGGAGTGATACCCCCTGGATTAGCAATGAGAACAGATGACTGATAATAAGAAGTAATTTTCCTCTCAACCAAGAATATCGCTTTGTCTGAATTCTGTCCCCTTTTTGAAGTTTGTAAGAATCCTGGTCTAGGAGAATATTCTGAAAGGACCAAACTCTTGTGTTTCTTCTACTCTAAGGTAGCCTAACTCTCTGGTAGTAGTTTCTGAATCCTCAAAGCCTACCCCCAGTGATATTCTTCCTCCAGCAGGCCATGCCTTCTAACCACACACAAACAGAGCCAACAACTGCAAATCAAGCATTCAAGTACCTGTGACAGAGGGGAGACACCTCATTCAGACCACCACAAAGTGTATGACCAGAATGTATTATATACGTGTATGAAATAGTAAAAACAAATACATATTAATAAACAAAAAAATGCAAAAAAAAAAACCCCACCCATTTATTACTACAAACAACAAATCCTTGTAGCCATGTTCCCAGTCACTTTCAGGACACAATCAGTGACAGTGAAGTTTGTGACTGTAACTCCAGCGCCTCATTTAAGGAAGTTTCTCTGGGTCTATTCCTCTCGGTTGTGTTAGTCACAGTAATCATCAGCCCAGTCCAGTGTTAGCTGACAGAACTGTGCAAGCATTATTTGCCCTGTTTACTGTAACAGTGTAAAATGGTCTTTCTGAGAAGTGCACACAGACCTTGATGTGATTTAGTAACAGGCAATAGTCAACAGTCATACTTGGCTTCTTGCTCTTGCTGCAGAGAGATAAAAGGGGATGTGGGGACAATGACAAGATCCTGCAGTTTTTTATGTAAAGGCCCTTGACCCAGGAACCTTTGAGATATTCTTAATGTTATCAGGCACAGGGGAGGCGGCGGTACATTTTGCTAAAGGACAAATACTTCTCTCGACACTTAGGTAAAGAAAGCCTTCTTCCGGGAACTGAGAATCTGTCTCTCCAATTCTCCCACTGCATCCTGGAGGCATATATACCTAGCTGAAAGGGTAACATGGGTTTAGTGCCCAACACCGTTCTTACAGGAAACCATGGCACACTGTTTTCCACAGCTCACTTTCCCCCTATTTTTACTTTTATTTTTTTTTCTTTGACTTCTTACTATTCTCAATATTTTCTTGGGACTGCCGGAAAAAAGAAATGCCATGCCAGTAAAACTACAGTGACATCCAGGGTCAGGTGATAATTATGTGAGGTCTCCCAGCTCTAAGGAAGAATCATTGGACTACAGTGAAAAACTACTTAGAATATATACAGCAGTAAGGAAACTCAGATGGATAGGATGTGACCACAGCAGCCTGGTGTCAAGCTGGAAGCTGGAAGCAATGAGCCGCAGATGCCTTACAATGTAATCCCCAAAGCAGTGACTAGCTTTATTTTCCTTCTTCTAAGGTTCTGACGTGAAACTCACCATTGGAGAAGGCATCTGTTCATAGACGAAAGGCTTTTGCATATTAACCTTTCTCTAATCATTTTGGTTGTGATCCAACGGTCTGATAAATGAATATTGTTGCATGTTTTAATATGATTGACCAAAAGTTGTGTGAATCATTTTGACATTCTATGGTTTTTCCTTTTAAAAGAATTTGTGTATTTATTGGTGTGTGTGTGAGAGAGAGAGAGAGGGGGGAGGGAGAGAGAGAATATCAGGCATGCAGAGGTCAGAAGACAACTGCCATACATCTGTTTTCTCTAATCACAACTGGCTACACCGATTACTTCACCTAGAAACTGAGAAAGAGCCTTCAGTGCGAGAAACTCTGTCAACGGTAAACTAGATCTAGCTCAGAGCTACGACTGCCTGGGAAACAAAGGCACGGAGAGTTGTAAGTTGTACTAGAGCTATGCATAGCTCTTTTTTGAGCACAGGCAAAGCAAGAATTATAGATTAGAGCAAGTCAAATGCCACTTCTTTAGCATGCCAGGTAAGAATTAAAGATGAGGACTAGAACTCTGGTGGGGGTGGGGGGTGATAGTTCATATTGCCAACTTGAAGGACCTATCCATGAGACAAGACTCTGGGCATACCTGTGAAGAGCCATCTAGATTAAATGAGGATTTTCTTGGTTAGAGTTGAGTTGAGAAGACCATCCCATCCCATATATGGTAGGCACTTTCTGGCAATGGCCCAGATTTGAGGAAGCCCAGGAGAAATGGTGTTTCTGCCTTCCTGCCTGCTTGCTGTCACCTTTTGCTGGTGAGTTAGTTTGTTGCCGCTGCTACTGCGCTGCTACTGCTGCTTCCGACGCTGCCATCTTCATTGACACAGTTTCTTCAGCTTTCCAGTGTGGATTGAAGACCAGTGGCCCTCGGGAGTCTTCCAGGCCTCCAGCAGCTGACTGGGACTGAGGAGGGAGCTAGCCTCAGTGCCTGAGCAGCTGCTAGGTTCTCAGCCTCCCCAGTGAGAAACAGTCACCGCTGAACTCTTCAGACTGCACTGGGTAAGCCAGTCTGATAAATCTCTTTTGATACATATTCATTGTGTTAGCATGGTTCCCTCCTCCAGAAAGAGAACCAAGACCCTCTGAAGTCCTTGCTGAGGGCAGAGGAAATACAGAGTGAATAGTAGAAGGCTAAGGTCTCGTGACCAATTGCAGAAATAAAGATTGTAATTGACATGAGTGTTTCTGTCATATTTTGTTAAGAATGTGTTTGTACAGGTATTTGTATTTTCTTTCCTACTTATCATGCATTGTTACATCAATTAAGAGAATATCAGTGGTTATATTTACATTTTGGGATGCTAACAAAATGCACTCCATGGGAAATTGCTACCTATTCTAAAAATGATAATTCCTATGTACTTGTACATGAGACAGTTATAATGATATAAGTATAATTATGTCCCAGCTAAACATGTAATTCATTTGTGATTGTACATGGGAAAGTTATACTATGTTAGCTATAATTATGACATGGTTATTGTTTTCATTTGGAAATTAAGCATAACATAAAGAGATATGATTGTGTGATAACTATTCTAGGTTGTCAACCTAACTGCTTCTAGAGTGTAAGTTCATTTTAAAGGGATTCTTTTTAATTAAATCCTTTGAGGTGGGAAACCCATTTTTAATCCAGATCTGTTGAGGTGGGAAGATCCCTTTCCAATCTGGACTACGCCTGCTGGCAGCTTATATAGAAAACGCAGAAGAAGGAACATTTTGTTCTCTGCCTGCCCTCACTCTCACAGACAAGTTCACTCCTTCACTAAATTAGACCCCACTCTTTCCAGTTTCTGGCCTATATTAAAATCCAGCTGTAACATCCAGATTCTTGGACTGAACAACTACTGGATTTTTAGACTTTGTGTTGGTAGATAGCCATTTCTGGACCACAGCCCATAAGCCAGTCTAATAAATCCCACATAAGTATAATTAATTTGTAGTTTTACATGAGATAGTTATATCATGTTATGCATAATTACAACATATATAAAATATATACTAATATGTATATTTATAAAAATGTAACATATATAAATTTATGCAAATTCTGTTCCTCTAGAGAAATATGACTAATACAAAGGACAAATGTTTAGGGATTCTTGTTAGGGATTATGCTGGTTTGGTAAACTTGAGTTTGCAGATTCTCCTCTAACAGTCATACTTTCACTAGCACTGAGTAGTTAGCAGGTTTCCAGTACCAGACTTGTTGAGCAGAATATAATTCTTACCTGATAATTGTTCTTATTGTATATCGTTTTACTATGTTAGTTAAAACCTTTCCTTTTTATTTAGAGAAAAAAGAAGAAATATTGTGGGGTATTTGTTCACTGTGTGAAGATGTTTTGTTGTGATGGGTGTAATAAAAAGCTGAATGACCAATAGTTAGGCAGGAGGTATAAGTGGGATTTTCTGGGGTAGAAAAGAAAGGAGGAGGAATCTAGGAGAGATGCTAGGAGACTCAGAGAGGAAACAGGAGATACAAGATGGAAGAGAGGTAATGACACATAAAAGAATGTAGATTAATATAAATGGCTTAATTTAAGTTACATGAGCTAGTTAGAAACAAGCCTAAGCTATAGGCTGAGATTTCATAACTAATAAGATGTCCCCATGTCCTTATTTGTGAGCTGGCAATTCAAACAGAATTCTACATATATAACTTTATAAGAATGTGAAGTAATAAATGAATACAATATGCATGAGAGTGATTTTTTTTTTATATTCAGACCACTAAATGTACTAAATGAAGAGACGGCTCAGTCTTCCAGAATTCTTGTATAGTAGATAGCTGCTATTTCCATTTTATAAGTAAGGAAAGTAAGCTGTGGGATGTTGAGCAAACTGACCACATACAAAAAACAAACAAACAAACAAACAAACAAAAAATAAAAAAACAAAAAACAAAAAAACCTGCCAACATCCAAACATTCTAGTTAGGAATACTTTGGGGAAAGATGGTGTTTCTAAGCTAAGAAAATGACTAGCATTCCCTTTGAAAGTCATCAGTGACAAAAGGAATGCAGAGTTTGTTGTAACTTTTAAACAGCAAACATGAGGCATTCAGGGTTAGCCTGGCCGTTCAGTTCTCAGTAGATCATTTACTTCTGCACTTGCTAACCTGAGCGGATGCTGCAGCTGCTTTTCCAATGTGCAGATAGAATAGCAACCTTGCAATGGTGTCTCTTCTGAGGAGTATCCATGGGCTGTCTTAGGTGGAACACTCCTACAGGGTCTTACCAAGTCTTAATAAAGCTAAGGTGTCCTCCCTCGTATTGTAGTTACAATCATTTCAAGAGACATTGATTCCTTACCTGATGCCTGCGTGGAGCGAATACTAGCATAGAAATACAAGCAGCCATCCTTCAGAATGCAGTAGTGTTGGAGCCACACCCCTGTGCTTCTCTCCAGCTGATGCAGAAGGCCCAGACATTCAGGGTCTTTGATAGCGAGAGGTGGGAGGCTACTGTTGTGCAGTGTAACATCTTCCCAGACGTGGGTCTGTGGGTGTAACACAGCGATGAGTAAGTAGTCCCCATGAACCAGATGCCATACACACACACACACACACACACACACACACACACACACACACACAGTGTCATGTGGGTAAGTCTGTTTGAGTTTAGGGAGCCACTGCCCTAAACGTTTCTATTGCTAATGTAATCTCACTGCTTCAGTCACAGCCATGTTATCTTTTGCCTATAGAGAATGCCCTCTTCTCTTTGGTTTCTGTTGTATTCTGAATAAATTAAGAATATTGGGCAAAGAAAGGAGATTAGGAATAGAGAATCAATGGGAATAGGTGCCTCAGAAAAGAGTTGCTACTGCCCGTCTGTAAAAGTGCTGGCCGGATATGGGCTTTTCACATCGCATTGCCCTCCAAGGCTGGATGCTGGTATGTCCACCATGAATAACAGCAGTCCCTGGTTCATGCCTGAATCCCCACTTGTGAAAATTAAATGCTTCAGGCCAGCCCTGGCCTTGGGCTCTCACGGTCACTGATGTGGAAAGTTGATGATAAATGGAGACCCTCTAACCTACAGGGCAGCCCTCAGTCCACGGGCCTGGGAAACAGTCTGTTTCTGAGAACTCTGACCCGAGGCCAGAAGCCCTGCGCTGTACCTCTTCATCAGAACCGGCCTGTGCTTGCCATTTCTCTTTGTTCCATTTTGGTTTTGTCCTTTGGTTTTAGCGAGGCAATGAAAAGGTATCAGGACACAGTGGTTGCTACATCCTGTGCTGTGAAGTGAGAGCCTGCTGGGGACTTTGGCTCTTCATGTTTCTCCCCCTTGCTCAGATGCTCTGAGCGCATTAGCAGACCAGATAGCTCTTCAAAGGATTAAGGCTCGTTAGAGTGGCACATTGGAGAGCCGGGTGAGTGTGCTGAGCACCGTGTTCCAGGTGAAAGAAACAAAAGCCCTGCTGGTCACTACACGACAACAATGACGATTGTTCTCAATGGGCAGCTACAAGGCAGGGCCATCCAAACTGCACCCTGAATTTCTGCCAACGCACAAACTGAAAGTGCGTCCCGAAGGCACTAAGTGCATGCATCATGCAAAGGAGTGATCTTATGAAATACAATCTATAACTTCCTTAGAAATCACATCCAAGCTGGGCGGTGGCGGCACAGGCCTTTAATGCCAGCACTTGGGAGGCAGAGACAGGAGGATCTCTGTGAGTTTGAGACCAGCCTGGTCTACAGAGTAAAGTTCCAGGGCAGGCTCCAAAGATAAAGAGACACCCTGTCTCAATCAAACAAACAAACAAAAAAACCAAAAACCAAAAACAAACCAAAAAAGCCACAATACCTCCCACAAAAAAACAAGCAAACAAACAAAAAAAGAAATCATGTCCACAGTGTAAAAATGAAACAGCTGGGCCTTAGGCAATGGTCCTCACAGTGCGTTCTGGCATGAACTCAGAAAGAGAGACAACCAGTCAGGCCCTGAAGTGATGGCCTTACACGATGGTGTAACAAAGTCACCTAACGTTTTGTAGGTACAAACCTACAGCACAATATTGTTCTAAAGTTGGAGGTCATGGATGTGGAGGACCAGTGAAAAGTGACCAACGTAGAACAGAGATGAACGTCTGAATGCAGCACGCTCTCTCACAAGCGGCTCAGAGGGCAGCGGCCCAAGACATCCTGCAGATCTTGAGAGTGCTAACAAAATGGCACCATGGTAGACTCCTGCAAGGCTCTGTGTGAATCCGAAATTACACTCCCCTTGTGACTCCGTCCTGAGACTTCCTGGGAGGGATGTCACACAAACTTCAGAAAATAAACAGAACAGCTCGACTGAAAGGCTCCCTTTTGGGTCTGAGCAGAAACCCTGTTGACTTAAGTGCTTTCCACAGCATTTAGGACAGATCTAGGATGTCCCAGGCTGGGCAGCACAACATCTATGGTGCTCCCTTCAGTAAAGAAACACTAACTGCAAGTGGAGTCCAGGGCTGAGGAGGAAACCTTACCTGGCGTATAGGATGGGCTGCTTTGTGCATTGCCTCAAGCCACCTGAAAGACAGCAAAGTGAGGGGACTGTGCAGTGTCCTACAGAGGAGCTTGCCTCACCTGACCTTCAGGCAGAGTTGTGTCCTGAGCCTCAGGTGTATTTCATCACTCCCGGGTGAACGCAACACATTCTTGCACATTTAAAGTTAGTCTGTGGCAAAACTTTATCCCATTAGGCATATCTAAAGCAAAATCCATGATATCTGCCTATTCATCCACTATTTCTGAGGTCTGCAATTTATTAACAACAGCCTGGCTGTTAGCAATCGCTGTACTAACCACAAGGCACAGCCCACCGAAACACGGAAGTCCTGGTGAGTGGCTATTGCCTCGACCCCCATCTTAAGTGCTCTTTGGACATGGTGGCCTCATCGGTATGCCTTAGCAGTGTCCTGTCGGGAGGCCTGGGCTCTTCCAGTCTTGCTCCTTAACCTGACTTTAGTAGATCCAGCCGACCCCAGCCTGCCAACCCTGTTTAGCTTTGTTTCAAACTCCCCAACTTCCAACGAGAACACAGTGCTGGCTGTTCTCCCTGAAGCCCCGTGTGTCTCCCTGTCCCCACTCTGCCCCATTTCATCTGCATGTGTGCCTTTTCCATACATAACTCCTTCATCCCCACATCCACAGGCCCCCACTTCTTGTCCTCAATTGCTATGCCATATGTCTTCTCCTGGGCTACGTCTCAACTTACACGCAAAAGAGCAAATGCCCTACCAGTTTAGTTCCAACTTGGCGTTCTGTTTTGTTTATTTACTCAGTTTTTGTTCCAGTTTTGAGTTTATAACTTAATCACAACATTTATCCCTTCCCTTTCCTACCTCCAAACCCTCCTATACACCACTCCCTACTCTCTTTCAAATTCGTTTTTATATTACTTGTTTTTGCATTCAATATATAATCCCCAAATCTAACATGTTTAACGCTACGTGTATATGTCTTTTCTGCACTTACTGTTTGACACTAGACAACCAATTAGTTTTCTCTTCCCTGGGGAAGGCTATTTCTCCTACTCTCAGTGTTCCTTAACTGTCTATGGGGGGGGTGTGGGAGGGGTCCTTCCTCTGTCAACTTTGGCATGTCTATTGGTATCATCCATGTTCAGCTTACATTTGTGCAGTCCTGTTGGGGAGACCTCATGGGTGTGGCTTCTGATGTTACTAGGAGACACAGTCTCCCAGCCAACTTCCTGATCTGCTGGCTCTTACAATCTTTCCACTCCCTCTTCCACAGTTTTCCTCGTGTATTACTTTTATGGCCAAAGATGGCCTCTTCATTATACACATAATCCGCAGAAATTTTTAAATGGTGTCTTAGGTGTGTTTGGTATAAACAAATACTATGTATGCATTGAAATAGAATGGAGTTGCTATCATCCTGATTGTCCTCTATTGTATATTTACTTAAATATACAATATTCCACAAACAGGGGCAGAATGCTCTTTGCCCAAGATCTAGCACTCTCTTTAAGGAGGGGAGTAGTCACTAAGACTAGACACATTGATTGATGAGCTATCATTTTCAGTTGACTCCCTGTTCTGTCCTACCTGGGCTCACTGAAATGGCCAGTGGGTTCCATTCCCTGAGGGGAATGGAGAGAGTATCTAATGGTCATAACTTTTGCTACCGTTTTAGAATGCCAAAACATTCTCTGTCTCTGTGGAATATATGCTTATACAATGTCAATGGAGTCTCTACATATTTTTCTCATCTCATCAGAGTTTATTGTTCCATATCATGCTTCATCATTGTTTTTTTTTTTTTTTTAACTAACAACTATCCATCTTATGGTGTATAACTCTGGCAATTTGTTAGAAATGAGAACTATAAACAGGGAGCTGCAGAAATGTTGAGGTTTCCTCTTTTAAAGAAGTTAAGGAGAGTTACAGTACTAATGTTAACAGAGTATGCTCATGTTCTTTGGAGATTCTGTTAAAAAAATGAAATAATGACATCCTAAACTTTTTATACTTAATAAAACATATGCTACCATATTTTGTTTTCTGCTTATTTCCGCTTCAAGAATATACAAGTCTACTACTCATGAAACATCACCTGACTGAAAGTAAAACCAGAGAGGCAGGAGATTAATGCATTACCTTTGCATCTCTTGGTTTGAAGTTGCACAGAGGCAAAATATTCTACTTCCAGACCGAGGCATACAGTTAAACACAAATGGTTTTCCCAAGCTGTTGTCAACATCAATGTCTGCTCCTTCTAATTTTATTATGCCTAGAGGTGGCCACTTCTCTTCATCCTATAATTGATAAGGAAGATATTCAGTTAGTGGAGAAAATGAAAAAAAAAAAAAAGGGAGACCATGATGACTACTTTACATTGACTATATTTTCCTCAACATAAAAAGAAAATAAAACACAATTTCCAGATTATATTTTTCCTTAGTATGTAACACAATATGACAAATTATTTGTAGTTTATAAACACCTTTTTGAATAGCTGTTTTAAATATGAACTTTATGCCCATTTTGGAAAGTATTATTAATACCAGCTTTCCCACATCAAAAATGACATCAAAAGAAATCTGTATCACAACAATATACATTGTAATGATGTAATGATATACAACACCTATACTATGAGTTCCATGCTTACTGTGTGTCATCCCTCCTTCTAAGTCACTTCTATCAACTGACTGACTTGACAAATGCTCATGAGATAGATTTATCATCTCCATATAATAGATCAGTAGCACAAAACGACTCAAGAATATTTTTCTATAAATGACATCACTGTAACATACAATGATAGTCATGTAAAACTAAAATAATTTTACAGGTAAATAGTCTTTATTTTCATTTACCTTATAGCTGTTTTTCAAAATTTCCCCTTCATTTTTTCATACTTCTTTTTGCCACCTCTGCTTTAAGATGTAACTTGCTTACTTAGCATGAAGTCACTCACTGTATAGTTACATATCATTGATGGTTAGTAAATGTATGAAGTCACAAAACTACCAATGTAATTCAGTTTGGGAATATGTGCATTAACCCCTAAATTTACTTTGAGTCTGTTTCCGGTTAACTGTTTTCATTTCCCAAATCACAGAGCATTTTTTGTGTCCTTATGTGTTTGACATTATCGGATGTTTAATGCAAGTGGAACCATACAACTTGTGGTGTTCTTACTTAGTATGATGTCTTTAAACTTCTAAGTCACACCAGGAATTAGCACTTCCTTCTTTTTTAAGAGTGAATGATATTCTATTGTAGGAGATGCGACAATTAGTTTCTCCATGTGTAAGCTGACAGACATGTTTTTTTTTTTTTTTCTGGTGTGGGGACTATTTTGAGTAACACCTCTATGAGTATTTGTGTACATGTCCTTGGCACATATGTGAATATTCAACCACGAGTAATATCCCTACTTCTATGGAGTTTTCGTGAACTATATCTTAATATTCACCTTTTTTAGAGGAAGAATATTAGATCCAGTGACATGCTCTGGTATCGCAGAGGTGACATAGTAGCAGAACATGAACCCTGTCTTCCAACAGTGTCTTCCTACACTGCATCTATCAAATATCTAGCCTCTTGGATCACTGGGATACAATAACTGTTGGTTTTTGAAATAAGTGATGAATGCTTGTGTTAGTCAACATTTTGGCTCCTTGGTTAGATTTTTCAGGAGCATCTTAAGTGTGAATTAGAAATAGAAATACAATTTTGGTTGTGAGCCTAGCCTTTAACAGCTGAACCATCTCTCAAGAAGATTGAGTGGGGAGATGAATAGAGGAGAGCAAGAAAGGAGACACATCAATAGAGTTAGTGTTTAAAGAGAAATCTGGCAGTAGGAAATTGTACAGAGATCCACAAGGATGATCCCAACTAGGAATCTAAGCAATAGTAGAGAGGCTACCTTAAATGCCTTCCCTGATAATGAGAACGATGGCTACCTTCTATGCTATCCTAGAGCCTTCATTCAATAGCTGATGGAAACAGAAGCAGAGATCCTCTGCTAAGCACTGAGCCAAATTCCTCGAATCCATTTTCAGAGAGGGAGGAGTGCCAAACAAAGGGGCTGGAAAAACCCACAGAAACAGCTGACCTGAGCAAGTGGGGAACTCATTGACCCCAGTCTGACAGCTGGAGAACCAAGACAGGACCAAACCAGGCCCCCTGAATTCAGGTGTCAGATAGGAGGACTGGGCAGTCAGTCTCTTGGCCTCTAGCAGTAGAACCAGGATATATCCCTAGTGTACGAATGGGCTTCGGGAGCCCATTGCCCATGGATGGATAGTCCCTTAGCCTAGCTAGATACATGGGGGAGGGCCTAGGCCCTGCCTCAAATGACTTGACCGATTTTGATGATCCCCCATGGAAGGCCTCACCCTCCCTGAGGAGTGGATGGGGGAGGGATGGAAGGGGTTGGGGGGCATGGGAGGATGGAAAGGAGCAGGAACTGGGATTGATATGTAAACTGAGATTGTTTCTAACTTAAATAACATTTATAAAAAAAAATAGAAATAAAACCCAATGAACTTATTCCATTGGTAAGCAACTGGCGTGTTCACTGAAAGCAAATACCTACCCAGTCTGCCTTGTGAGGGCCTATTATACAGACTAGATGATGCTGGCTTTAGCATCAAGGTGGCTTGGTCACTCATGTCAGGGTCCTTCCACATCCTGTGATGTAGGAAAAGGGCCTTTAGTCATTTACAAGGCTCTTCTCTGCTCAAATTACAGGTGTGTGAGAAGAATGAAGGACAGCTTAGTGGACTGGGTTTAAAAACTAGGGATACTTTCTCTTACAGGCTCCGCACCCCTGCCAAGATGGCATTTTTTACGCATCTCAGCTGCTGCCTAATGCCCCCGGCTGATGAGCCTGCTGTGTGCCGGGCAGCAGCTGTGGTGAAACGTTGGTGGTTGGGCGGTGCAGCAGGTGTGGGTTCTCCTGCAGCTGTGTTCCCAGCTTTCGCTTTTATGTTGGCTTCATGGGAACAAGAGCCTTTAAACCCCTCTCTCAGTGAGATACAGATGTTGAAAGAGTGACTCTACCTGATCTAACCTAATACTGCCTGCACCGTGGTGCCCTGCTCATCAATCCAATGTTTTCCAGAGATAAAGGACAATTAAAGCCTGCCTTCTATTTCACTGTCATGCAAAACCAAACCAAACCAAACCAAACCTACTTCCTTAAGCAAAATTCAGTCTTTTAGCCTGGCAATGATTATTATACTGGTTCTGTTTGATCCCTTCTTGAAAGTGCTGCCAAAGTCTTTCTTGGCTGCGCTGGAACAATGAAAACTTCAGGGCTGCATTCCACACAACTTTATAGTCTTTTGTCCAAAGCACAGAAATCCTCTGGCACGGCTTTCTATTCCCCAGCCAGTTCACAGGTTCAGCTGCTGCCTGTGTGCAGGATTGATTAAAATAGCATGGATGCTAAGGGGATTTAACTAGAAATTGTTTAGTGATGTCCAGAAGCTATAGAGAGAATAAAGCAACTCGGGCTGTTTGTGTCAGAAGACCTGGGCAACATTGGGGTTGTCTAGCATGGAAATTGTATTTTTTACAAAATGAATTCCAAAGGTCAGAGTGTTCAGAAATGGTGAACATCAAGCAATAATGATGACAAAAACCCAACCTAGAATGAATGCACTTCTAAAATAGATTATTTTTATGAAGACAAATACAGACAAGGGCGTTTGTGTGTTTGTGAGGCTTTCTGTCAAAATAAAACTACCTACAGACACCTTTGAATTTTTGTTTTGGTCAAACATTTGGTTTGAACATGATAGGAATTTGTTGTTGCCAGGTCTCCTCATCTCAGAAACAAACAAACCCTCAACAACCCGGGATACTGTGTGTATGTTTCCTTTGCCCTGAAAACCCGGAGAATTTTAAGAAGGCAAGGAAAGGCGTCTTTGACTGTGGGGAAGAGATAACTCTGAGTGGAGAAAAGCCAGAGAAAAGACAAACCTAGACAGAGGAAAGACTATCGCTAAGAGGAGCACCCAGGAAAAGGCGAAGCAAACGCAGAGTTGAGGAGCTATGAAACTGGGGAGGGGGCTGGAGCAGAGTTGAGGAGTATCCCTGTCCATCAGAGCTTAGTTAATGATACGGGGCATCCTTTATCTGTAAGTGACCTCCTGGAGCACCCTTCTCCTGCCAGCAACTGAAGCCACCACTCTTTGATAGTCATGAGAAGATGCTAACGACAGACCACACCCCGGGATCAGAGGGGACATAAAGGGCATGTGTGAGAAGGAAGAAGAGGAAGCTTTTCGCTGCTGTGCCTCTGTCCTTTGTATTGTGGAAAAACAGAAGTCAGGGTTATTGAGGAACGACAAGCCCCTCCCTAGATTATTGGAGATGATTTATGTATGCATTTGTGCTTCATTTTTCCCCTCCAGGCAGGCAAGACAGAATGGAAAGTCAGAAAACAGAAAGTCAAATGAACATGTACGTCACACCCTTGTTTATGAGTAATAATAGTTTACCAGTTAAGCAAAGTTAAAGCTTTGTGATTTTGACATTCACTTTTTTTTTTTTTTTTTCCCCCACTCATCCTGTCTAGCAGAAGTATGCCCATAAGGTACTTCATCTTTCCACAGAGCTATGGTTCTTTCCCTGTTTTTATAAAAATCCCTGGCTGCAGATGTGACATCAACAGAGGTAACTGGCTGCCAACTGAGAATTCTGTGCTTTCTTTTGCAGTTTGCCTGAGGTGGGGAATCAGGTTTTCAGTGTGATAAATACAGGCTGACTGAACCATGTTGTTTCCTGGCAGCAGCAAGATTCCAGGCTCCAGGAGACCCTGGGAGCCCTTGCAGCTGAAGCAGGTTGCCGTCATTGGACAAATCCCGATGCTATGCCCAAACAAACAGGGTTCTTCTTGAAAGTTAGCCAAAGGGAGGGTTGCCAGCAGTATTTGAGTTTGGGTTACCAACTCTACAGCTTTATCTTCTCCATTGAATGACACAGTTGTTACCTTTCTCTTGGCTCCTAAATTACACTTAGAAGTGCACCACCCATGACCATATAATACTTATCATTACAAAAGGAGACTGAAGGTCAGGGTGTGGTGGCATATGCCACGAATCACAGTACTCAGGACACGAAGACAAGATTAGCATGAGATTGAGGCCAATCTAGACTACACAGGGGGTAGAAGGAAAACCTGAGCTGTATAGCAAGACCTTGTCTCAACACCCACGCTATTAAAAAAGGAAAGGCTGTGAAATGGTGAACCTTAATTAACAGCCTGAAAGCTACAGGTAAAACAAAGGCACTCAGT